AGAGAGAGAGAGAGAGAGAGAGAGAGAGAGAGAGAGAGAGAGAGAGATTTTCTTTATCTTCCCAAAGGATTGTGATTTTGTTTCAGAAAACTGGGGAGACAGGCAGGGAAGCCTTGGTACAGAGCATGATGTGTTCTAGCTGTTAACACCCACAGTCTCTGATCTACTCCACAAATCTCTTGGGAATTAACAAATGCTAAGGGGTTCTGGACCTTTCTTCTGCCGTTGTACAGCTTTCCAACTGTGTAGGACTTATCTCTACAGTCTCAACATGAGCTCCTTAAGGATAAGGGCAGAGCCTGTGACTTATAGCTGTCCATGTCTCCTAGTCTTCACTAGTAAATATTTGTTAAATGGAAACCTGACTGAGGCTGCATATCAAAAGGATGGGGGATTTTCAAGGCAGGGTACCTGCTCCTGCCTAACTGAATAGAGACTGCTTGGCTTGGAGGCTGCCTTATCCTGTCAAAGAGATCAATAATGCTGCTGGGTTATGGGCATCAGATAAGAGGTTTCAGGGTTTAAAAAAGACATGACAAGTTAGGGGACAGTTAGGAGGATAGCTGTCATGATGATAAAGGGTTTTAAAAAGCAGGTGCAAGAAGAAGGCTGGGGCAATATTGGGGCTATTTAAATATCAAAAGTTTTGCTTGAATCATGTATGATAGGCAGTTGATTTTCCATTAGTAGTAGGGTGCTTATATAGCACAGATCTTAATAGCTTTTTTCATGGCAAGACACTCTTATTTTCTTAGGAAAATATCAAAATTATGTGTCCCACAAGGGTAATGCTCTTCAAGACTAGAATCTGCCCTAAGGTTCTGACATTTTAGGTGGCTCCCTGCCACCAAGGACTGAGGGTTCAATTCCTTAGCACACCATAACCTCTTCCTGGTTTGAGAAAGTCATATAAGCATTATGAAATTGATATGGAGGCAGGGAATATTTGAATTTTAGGTAGCTAAAAGCAAGTTAGATCAAAATAATGAATGAAGAATTGAAAAAAAAAATGAGAAGATGGTTGATTATCAGATTTGAAAACACTGCATCAATTTGTCAGGGGGTGGGAAATAGAGCACATCCAATAGTCTTTGTTATGTTTAATCTTCACTACTTCAGAAAAAAACAAGCGTTATAAACTTATCTCCAAGATCACTTGAAGTTTCAATTTTATTTACATTTTTTTTTAATGTTTATTTTTGTTTCACAGTGTTGACTAACAAATTATTAGTTTTAATGAGAGTTAGCCACTGGGATTGAAGACACTACAGGCTGATTGAAACAAAAATTTGCTATTGAAACTTATAAAACTACATAAGTATGAAAGAACATTAAGTTTTACATGTGAGTTAGAGTAAAGCAAAAGCTTTCTGTAGATAAGATAGATTTAAGGATGTAGGTGACCCAAGAGTGTAAATGTCTTGGTACAAGCAAAAATTCCAGGCAGTGTATGTCAGATTTTCAAGGCAGTGGAATTGGTGGGGTGTAAGTCAAGGGATCCAAACAGTAAAAAGGGACTCATGTAAAACATCTTGGTTACACATGAAACAAACAGGAATGCTCCCTGAGATAATGAAGGCATGATATGAGGAAAGAGTCGAGTGGGAAATGGAACAACAGACCTGAGCAGAGGGATCTGCTGGCTGGTGGGCAGGTGGAGGAGGGGCACAACCTCCTCAAGTCTTTTCTCCCCACCCTCAGAATCCTTTCCCTTTGTGACTCTTCAATGGTGTGTGATGCAAGCCTGGAGATATAGAGAAGCCCAGGCACCCTCAGAACTCATTTGCCTTAGGCAACCGAGAAATTCAGATGATGAAGAGTGTTCTCTCTTTGCTGAATAGCCTACTGAACCATGGTTGATCTTGGTTCAATTCTTTGGGATATTGATCCCAAAAGTACCATTTTGAGTGGGTTGGTGTTGCTTTTTCTATACCTGTCCTTTCAGGTATTGAAACGATTTTCACCAACACTCGAGAAAAATAAAGCCATCCAGAAGAAGGTAAGGAAGCAGAGTGAACTCCCAAGGGAGTTTCTTGATTTTTGTCAAATGTGAAATGTTTTGTGAAATGTCAAATGTGATTTGTTATTTCCATTCTCACATTACTAAATGTTTGGTTGGCTCAAAGAAGATGTGACTTGGGAAGTCTGAGGACAAGATAGAACTTCACTCTTTAGGGAAAGAAGTCAGAGGTTCAGGAAGGACTAAGGTTTCCATCTGAAGCTCACAGACTATCTTTTGGGGTGTGATGGAGGGTTCCAGATTGGTTTGGATAGAGAGTGTGGCTTCTCTGAAGGAGACGGGTCTCTTCTGACTAGATTCTGAGTCTCATTCCCATGTCAGATGTGCTTCACCCAGCCTTCATATTGGGCTGATCAGGACAGCAGTGCTGACCTCGGAGTAGAGCCTGTAGCCTGAGCTCTGCCCCAGGACACAGGGTTCCCCGGGGGAGCCCAGACGTGACTGTTGGCCTCAGATTCTATGCCCTCCTTCCGCACAGGGTTTAAGACCATCAAATGAGGAATCTCACAGACAAAAAATGTCCTTTGAAATTATCAAAGAAGTAAAAAATTGAAAATATTTCATTGCCCTTCAAGATTAATAAAAGGAAGGAATACAATTTCTACTAATTAAAAATGAAGAGTTGTCCAATTCTTGCCTAATGAATGTCTAAGCTTGTTAACAAAAGGAGTAAAAGAAATGAGCCCCAGCCCCTCATTCTTTTCTTTTTGTTTTCAGCGTCAGGGAACAAAGAGAAGGAGAAATGGAGTATCTAAAGGTAAGGTTCTGCCTGTTCAACCTGAGCTCTATAAGGGTGAACTTTCCTATCTCCCTACAGCTCCATGATCTTGGAGGATGTCAGTTTCTAGGTGCAGTCTCTCTCAGGAAACAGGGTCTCAGAGGAGAGGCTCAGGAGAAGGCAGTGAGACCTGAGAGATTCCTCAGAGTCCCTGCCCTGCCCACCCTTCCTTGGGTGTGAATGAAGTAGTGATGGACCTGGGCCTTGGACATTTACTGCCGAGTAGGTGGCCCTGTGAGATGTCCAAAGACCCCTGATTGCCTTGGAGTCAGAATTTCTGTCTGGTGACATGGTGTAAACTACTTTAATTCTTGGCTGATTAGATTCATCCTGAGTTAGCTACTGATCCTTGTGCTTCAGGTGGTGGTTTTGAGCAGCATGTAGGATGGTACAGGTGAAAGTACTTTCTAAATGGAACCACATATACCTGTGAACCTTCTTACTATTATCCCTGACACTTATGACCTTATCTGCAGATTTTTAGGGCTTTCTGACTTTAATATCCTGTTTCCTGTAAAAACTCCTGAATGATAACCTGTGTTTTTACCTTTACTATATATAACCAACTGTCCTGGTTTTCCAGGTCGGAGAACTTGCCAGAGAGAAGTAGAGGAGGGGAGGAAGCTGCCTTCTATTCTGAAAAGGTGATTAGTCATTTCCCTTTACTGATTCCTTTCCTAGCATGCTTTATTCAGTCCCCCAGGAATTCTTCACAACATGCCCTAATCACAGGAGGGATAGCCATAGCCATGGGTACGTGAATAAAGAACTTGGGAGGGGAGGGTATTGTGAGGTCATAGATGTGTGGAATGTAGAGCAGGTAGCGGGCTCCCCACCACCCATAGAACTGCAGATCTTGCTTCCCTTGTAGTGGTTCTGGTTACAGCTTTGGCTTTCTTTCTCTTACAGTCTCATGAGCCAGAATAATGATTTCCTCCGCTTTCGGCAACTGTTATGTAAATGCCCGCTCTGTGGGAGGTGTAATAGAACACCAGCTAAGGTCAGTCAACTGATCTGTAAGGCGTCCTTGGAAGATGCTCTTAATTCTGTGTCCCGTGTGTCTTCCTTGACGTCTGTGAGAGAGTCATCAGTTTTTCTGTCCGATGTTGTCTCTGCAATCCCTCCGGGAGCTTCAGTTTCAACTCCTTTAACTGAGCCAACTCTATTTCCTTCCTCTATTCGTTCACCTGACCAAATTACCCCTTTAATGGACCTACCTGGACCCTCATTACTGGGTGACTCTCTGCCACCAGAGCCTTCTCCCTTGAGTTCAAAATTGCCAGTGGATCATATCCCACCTCAACCATCTGTTCCAACTCCTCCCCCACCTGTTCCAACCCTTCCCCCACCAACTGACAGTCAAGAAGCAAAACCTGTTCTCCAACCAGAAGCCCCTTTGTCTCTGGTGGATAGCCCTGATGGGTTGTCTACTAATGTCCCAACAACCACATGCACTGACAATGCAAGCCTTCTAGTGTCAGAGTTCTCTGGAAACCAGTCTCATGCTGAAAACTTGTCTCCATCTAAATTGGAGCACTCTGATGATGACAAAAACCTCCTCGACCTCCATCCTCCTGAGGCCTCTTTTGAGAGTGATACTACAGCCATCCTTGTAGAGCCCGGAAACCTCTCATTTCTATGCCCTGATGTCTTGGCCCTTCTGGAGAGACATATAAAAAAGAAGGGTGATTTCCTGATGCAGAACAAAAAGAAAAAGGAAAAAAAAATCTTTTCCAAAAGAACTTAAGCCAGACGACCAATTGAATTCTTCAGGGAAAAGGTTAGAGTCAGTTGCTGAGCAACAGGACTCACCTGTCTCCCTTCCTTCACAGAGCAGTGAAGGCAAATCAGAGGGATTGCAGGTAGACCACCAGTCCTCAGATCCTAAGACCTTTGAGGATAACTTACCTAAAAAATGTACCCAATTCTTCTGGGGTCTCCCATCTTTGCATAGTGAGTCCTTGAAATCTATAGTACCTGAATCAGGTGACTGTTCAACCTATGTCTGCTTCAATTCAATGCCTAGTTCCTTTGAAGCCCCTGAATCTCTAGTTCTACCCCCTCCCCCAACTCTGTCCTTGCCTGAGATCCAATCTCAACCCTTGACCCAAGCACTGTGCCAATCTCCTGTCCCACCCCAGGACCAGCTTCAGTGCCAATCTCCTGTCCCACCCCAGGACCAGCTTCAATTTTCAGTCCCTACCTTGTCACCACCCATTTCATCTCAGGTTAGTGATGGTGGAGTGAGGATTCATAGATTCCAGGATGAGGTACACTCTCTCATGCCATCCAAAATTCATGACTTGGAATATAATGTATTACAGAAAGGACAGGAAAGTTTGTGGGGTTTACCCTCTGTGGTTCAAAAATCCAAGGAAGAGTTTTGTCCTGCAGCTCCCAGTGTTTTATCTGATAGACGGTCCTCCAAGGCTTATGCTCCAACAACCATCATTCTGGGAGATTTTCCCCTCAAAAAAGAGCTTCGGAAGAAGCTAGAGCACCACCTTCAGAAAAGGCTTATTCAACACCGGTGGGGTCTGCCCCGCAGAGTCCATGAGTCTCTGTCAAGGATGAGTCCTGAAACAGAAATTTCCGAGATATCTGAGTCAAAGTCCACTTATGGACTTTCATGGATCTCTTTGTTTAAGGGTCAAAGTAGCAAAGATTTACAATTGAGCCATCCCAGAAGTTTCCATGAGAAGAACTCAGAATTACTTCCACTAGGGGAGAGAATGAAGAAAGTAAATAGTCTAGAGATTGGCACAAACAATGATCCATTGAGTGACTCAGAGGGGGCTCCAGATAATGATCTGGACTCTGACTTTAAGACAAACCTAAAAAACAAATTGAATAGTCTTTTTGGAAAAAAATCAAAGATCTCAGAGGAGAGCTCAGTTCAGAAACAACTGACAGAAGCCCTAGAAATACATTTGAGCAAGAAATTTGAGGAAATCAATGTGTGTCAGATGCCTGGCACCATGAATAGATCATTGCATTCTATGGAGCCAGTATTGATTAGTCCTGAGAAATCCCTTAGCCAAACGAAACACAGAGATTTGGTACCACTGGTGTGTAAGGACAAGGGCCTCAATACCTCCCAGGATATTTCCTTGCTTGGTTCCAACAAACAAAAGATCTTGGAAGACCATATTAAACTATTTCATAAGAGGATGATGTGTGGGCTTCCCCAAAAGGTCCAGGAATCCATAGACATCTTCAAAATGAAAGGAACCCCATCCTGGTCCTCAGTTCGCTCCAACATTTCCTCCTCATCCAGTCTTACTTCTGGCAAGGATTCCAAAATTGGGGTCTCCAAGCCCCTTAAAGAAAGCATTAGTACTTTTCAAGTAAACAAGGTGGGAACAATAATTTCAGGCCCTACTCTAGATCATCCTCTTTCTGCCACTTCACCTGTGAGCAAGGAAAATAAGAGGGCCCTAACACATTCACCCTCTCACACCAACCCTGAGCTTACAGAGAATGTCAAGGCAATTGAGGGTGACAGATGGGCTTCGTTGCCCTTCCCACACAGTGACAAAAATAAAGACAGTCAGAAACAGACTGTAATAGCCAATAAATGCAGCCCAAAGTTGCCCACAAAGCAGGCTGGGGCCAGACCCAAATCATGGAATAAGGGAGTGAGTCCCAGCAATAGTATAGAAAAGATTCAGAGAAACATGATTAAGAATTTAGAATATTTTCCCATGTCTAACAAGTCCAGGGAGATATTCAAGGCAAAGGAGCTCTGTGCTATTCGATCACAGTCTACGAACAGCCTGACGACCACAGAGTCAGAAAGCTCCTCAGTGACAGATATGAATATGAGTAAAGTTGAATCAACCCTAACAATTGAAAGGCCCCCAGAAGGAATATCAGTTCTCAAAGATTCCGAATCATTAGATCTTAAAAATCAGTTGCTTAATGAGTTGAAGATGAAAATTGAGAGCAGGAAGCGGGGCCTGGTTCCAGCCTTTTCTACTGAGTTGACTCTGGCCTTAGATAAGTTGACTTCCAAGACCCTGGCTTCCAAGACCTTAGCTTCCAAAACCTTGACTTGCAAGACCTTGACTTCCAAGACCTTGACTTCCTTCACTAATTTTCATAGTGCCTCTAGTGGGGACATGGCAGCTCCCCAGGTGCTACAAGCCCACTCTGACAACAGAGGGATCAACATAGAGCAGGGGCAAGAACCCTGGATCCCTACACATGTCTTATGCAAGTGTCAGGATAACAATGTACCATTAGCATCAAAAAGGGTGTGCCCTCTGGTACCCCAAACAGGCAAGTTTGGTGGAGGGGATGCAGGGTTGGTGACATGCCAACCTAGAGGGAAGCTCCCCCACCCTCAAGACAGACCACTAAAGGAGGCACTTGGGAGCAAGTCCTCCTCAGCCCCATCACTGAAGGGACAGCCTTCTAAAAGCCAGTTCAAACGCTTTTTTCAAAGGCTTTATCTTGGTGTAAAAGGCAAAGGGCAAGAAGGTTCTCTGAAAAAGGGCAGCTCTTCATCATCTGTGCAAGGAAGAAACCCAGCTAAGAAGAGAGCTGCCTTTACTGGGAATACTGAAGCTCAGAAAATCATGACAGACAGTGGGAAGATCCTAGAGGAGAAACTAGCAGGTCAGCATGGAGTAGAGGCCACCGCCCCGCAAAAGCCTCTTTCCACCCCCATGAGGCCTGGGAAAATTCAGCACAAGACTGGATTGCCGGTTCGGGCAGAACCCATCCAGAAACATGACTTCAATGTCAATACTCCCTGTGCTAAGGTGCCAAGTGCCAAATCTTGCAGCCAAGAAATTGGCTTTGCTGGTCAGTGGATTCGTATAGGGACTAATAAATGGGTCATGGACAGGGGCAGACAGCCCCAGAAAAGTGTACCGTACAGGACAAGATAATATGTCAGAAGCATCAACCATCCATGCCGCACAAGGAACCCTTGCCCCATCTGAATACTACATGCAAATATAGAGTTGGTCAGGTGGCTCCAGCTGCTGCTCCTTTTGCTAAAGGCACTGTGTTGGGAGAGTTGTCCCTATTGTTCAAACAGAAAATGCTTCTCCAGAATTTTCAGAAAGAAAATTTTCTTCCCCCCAAATAATTTATCCCTTTTTGAGAATACTGATTTTCCCCAATAAATTTTCTAACAATATGGTGTATTTTCTTGTGTTGGGGGTTTGGGTTTTTGGCAACCTACTCCTTGTGTTTAGGGAAGGGGAGAAAGTAGTTCAGCTTTTATTGATTGCCTCTCTGGACTTCTAAAAAGGTGACCAAATCTCCTGGACCTCTCATTAAGGAAGGGATATCATGTTTTCAAAAAACACCTTTCCTCTTCCTGCTGAAACCTGAGGAGGTGGCACTGCTTCCTACCCCTTAGCTTAACTTTAATGGCATTATATATGGCATCCCACACCTTTCCCCTGCAGTGAGGAAGATAGGTCTTCTATATCAAAAGAGAGAGTCAAGGGGCTAGGTGTTTTGGCACAGCGGTAAAGCGCTCACCTCTAGGCACTGGGTTTGATCCTCAGCACCACATAAAAATAAAGGTGTTGTGTCCAATTACAATGAGGACAGGGAGAGAGAGAAGGACAGGAACAATTTTGAGAATGGTTAATAGAGTGGCTTAGTCATTTTTTACAAACATGTCAGTTATCAGGAGTTCATACAGAAGGGTGAAACTTGCTTGAGAATGTTTAGGGGGTACTGCTGCAGTGGATTCTGGGTGATT